TGTTATTCCTTGTTCTCTGTTGTTCTGTGGAAATATTTCACTATGTTCAGCAGAAAATTCAGACCCTCCCATTACCTCTTTCCAGGGTAATCATGAGTCATACATGCTTCTCATGGCCTGATGCATTCTGTCTTTTTGTTATTAACTCAAGACAGACGGGGACGACTTATAAGATGAAAGATTTATGATCAACATTCATGACCAGTCAAGTGTTGTATTTGCTTTGAAACACTGCCAAGTGGGGGGGTGTTCGTGTCTGTGTTTGCTTAAGGGCTCAAGTCAACTCCTCTTCTGAAAGGGTAAACACTGGACATGTCACATCTGACACTTTGAAGATATGCTTTCCTCCTGAACTTTTCTTTGTTGTGTCTAAACAACTTAGACTTTCACAGTGCTAGTGAAGTGTTAAATGTGCACCTCCCATCTACTTGGCCCTCACACTGGTTCTGCAGGGTTTTTGTCTTTTCCTGTAAAGTGCCTTTCTGCTATATGATGCCAGACATACTATAGAGTGGTTTTGCTTGTTAAGACAGCCTTTCCACAACATCCATATCATGTTTTATCAATGTGCTTGTCTGTTTTCTTTTCTTTAAGGGTTTTTTGTTTTTTTTCTCAGAGGGCGTCAGGGCTTCAACGTTTTAAGTTCCTCAATGCTGGAACAAAACCATCTAACAGATAATATAATAACAACAATTTTTCAAGTTTAAAATAGTGCTTGGAGGTATTAGGGAAAGATGCAGGATGTCACAAAGACACCCTGTTCTGTGCATTTCATCTAAAAACACCCTGAAACATGGCTGTTTCAGGGTGTTTTTAGATGAACAATTCTGAGATGTAGGCTATATTGAAGCACCAGCAGTTGCCTGATGATGAGGTTTCCTCGTGACTTCACTTTGTGCCTTCATTTAAGCCACGTTTCTCATAAGGTGGTTGTTTTGACATTTTCAGTTGTCATGTGAGTTCACTTGACAACCAGTGTGACTTTTCTCGACCCAAGTCAGTTTTTAATCACTCTTTCCAGACATTGTAAAGATTCCCCACCCGACTCTGAGAACCCACTCACCACACAGTTTATATCTTGTGATTTGCATTTGAGAAGACACACCTCTCTGAAGACGTCTTGTTTCCGGCTCTGAGCAAGTGAGTGGAAAGTACTGATAAGCATCACAAGCATTTCAGCAGAGCACACTTAACAGGGGAGGTGACCTCACAGTGATGTGGAAACCTTTTTTTCTCTCTCTATGAACTCTAACCCCCCTTAGATTTCCGCTCTAACTGTAATTACAGCATTTTGTCTTTTTAAGCACATCTATAGTTTTAGTATGATTATAAATTTAGATTTTAAAAGACGAATTAACCAACAAACCACAACCGCTGATTAATCTAGAGCATTTGATCTTTGGGTGTATTTATCTGAACAGTCAACATGATAAGAGATAATCTACAGCAGTGAGGAAGGATCATTTGCATCCATACCTACTAAAGATAGTTATTTTAAGGTTTGTGGGGTTTTTTGTAAGTAGACCACAGCTTGTGAGGCTGCTTGTGAAACCATAGAGAGTGACAGAGCTAAACAGTAATGCTGCACGTCTAAGCTGAGCAAATAATTATGCTTACCTTTTCACCATCATACTTTAGAAACACAAAGTACAACCAATGCTGTTGTGAAATTTAAAAGCATTGCCCATATTGTGGCCCCAGATGAAAAGGTAGCAAAACACATTATTCTTTGAACCCAGTAATGAATGCTTGTGCCACATCTGCCCGATAGTTAAGGGAATTTTCATTAAGAATCCGGCTCCTCATGGCATTAGCAGCATTTTACTAAATTGGTGGACTGAAACACTCTTATTGCCACCTCAGAGGCATAAAGAGGTTCTTCCGATATACAGTGGAGGGTGTAATTTGATCCATTACTGAATTTGTAAGGTTGCTCATTTCCCAAGAAATAAACAGTCAAAATTTAATGTGGATTTTGTTTTAGTGGAGTGAGATGGGATACAAAAAATTTCGAAAAAATATACCATTACACGAAAGTTTTACAGTAGATAGATTTGCATGTCAGTGAGTGAAATTAGTATTTGACGCCCTACAACTCAGCCACAGTTCTGGTGCACGTGCATCGGCTGTGCTCCGACGTAGCACAGTGATATCAATCAATCAGTCAATCTAAGATACTCCTGATCTTTACTCGTGTGTATAAATCGCACCCATCCAAAGAATCAATTTCTCCCATTCCAATCTCTCCAGGCCAAAGAGCCGTCAATGGACATCAAGGACAAGATTGTAGAGCTGCACAAGGTTAAACTGGGCCGTAAGACCATCAGCAAGAAGCTTGGTGAGAAGGTGGTGGAATCATTTGGTCTGGAGCTATATGCAAGATCTTGTGTTAATCACCTAAAGGCAGTTGGGAAGACAGCCACCAAGATCACCATTGGCTGACTTGCAAATCAATTTATAACATATATTTAATGTTGGGGTTTTTTTCTGGATTTTTGATTGATTTTCTGTTTCTATTTATTAAAATGAACCAAACTTGATATGATGTGATCAAACTTGATAATTCAGCAGGGGAATAAATAATTATTTACCTCACTGTTTAGCAAACTGCCAACCTGAAATACCAAAGAAAACCCTTGAATGTGTAGCTTAGCATCTAGCTCTTGATGCCAAAGTGACCCGTTTGTAAAGAAATATTGCACCTCATCCAAATCAAGATTTAGCTGATGCTTCTTTGTAAACAAACTATTGTAAGTTTATGTGGGCATGTCTCTATCAGATCTGTACATCAAGGTACTTTCTTACCATAACCTGAAGGAATAAGTCCATATGACTCTGCCGCTCCATAAATGTTGTTCTTTTAATCTTTTTTTGTTTTGGCTGTATACTTTGCTCACGTACACATCCATGTATCATACTGCAGAAACTATATTTATTTTGGTTTGAAGTGTTTACACTAAAGATGTGACCAAACTTCAATGTGAATAGTCTGTCTCATTGTTCTCCCACAAAGCTGTCATTAGTGTTGGTCCAGGTCAACTGCTGTATTCACCGCTTCTTCAGTCTGACCCTCAGAGGCTTCCTTCAGAGTTGCCACAGGTCTTTGGGCGTCTGTCATAGCTGGTGTTCTTTGAATTGATTTATCAGATTTTGACACACCGTTTGCTTACTGCTGCCACATAAGCTTTTCATTAGTTTAATAACGGATTAGACTCACATGCAATAGACTGGCAGCCTGTCCAGGATGTAGCCCGCCTCTCGTCTCTCTCACCTCTGGGACTGTTGGGATAGTGTCCAGGTTCCCGCTCCCCATTTTGATGAAATGGATAAGTGAGTGGATACTTGCTTGGATTCCAGGTGGTACTCACTTCTAAATGTTTGCACATTATTATCCTTGTGCTTTTCAGTCACATGTTCCTTTACCTTTATTGTGTAGGTTATGTCTTAATAGGCACCCTGCAGGCGTGGACCTCCATGATCAAAGGCAGGGACAGACTTTTGTAACTGTTACGGCCAGGCGGAGAACTACAATGGAAGAGAAACTGATGTCTCATTAATGTTTTCAGAATCAGAATCAGAAAGACTTTATTTATCCCCAAGGGGCAATTAAGATACAACAGAGCAGCATGACGTTGAAGATAAGGACAGGGCATAAACAGGCTATAAGTGTGAGATAATAAATGCACACAGAATATACAGTATACACACAGTTTTAAAATTACACAGTTTTAAAATTAAAGTGACTGAATAGGTGAATAAATGACTTTAAGTGACTAAAAGTGAATAAAGTGTCGGCAGTATAAAAAGAGTGTAGAGTAGTTGAAGTTTCTGGTGTGGGAAATGGTCTCATCGGCTGGAGAGTGGCTTCGGGGACAAAGGTGGCTCTCCTCCTCTCAGTCCTGCAGGAAATGCAGCGGAGGCGGCGCCCAGAGAGGAGCCATTGGAATGCAGGGTGAAGAATATGAGAGGGGTCGTTTTGGTTTTGCTTCCTTCTTCTGGTTTGTTTATTTTTTACCATTGTCATTTTCTACTTATATATACATACATATATAAAAGTGCCCCATGGGCTCTGATGCTGTGCACCAACACCACTTCTGCATGCCTTCCATCGCTCTATAAATCTTCTCTGTGGTCCACTTCTTTCCTCTCTTGTCCACTCACCCCCCCTAACTTTGATGCTTTTTCAGTATTTTTACTTACTGCAGTTGACAGCAATAGTTGTCTCAATGTGCTTTGTATTGTAAAGTATATAAGTCCTGTGATATTAAAAGGAAGGCCCCAGCAATTCCTAAAACACTTGGTGATGGTGGAGAGGAAGATCTCTCTTTTAATAGGAATATATCTGTGATAGAACCGGGCTCAGAGAGCAGCAGGCAACTGCTGAGACCTGTTGGGAGGTGAGAGGAAAGAGAAGTGAGACAAAGAGTGCATAGAAAGACAAGCAGGAGGCATAGGAGAGAGTAGACCAAAGCTTATGACATGCAGTGCTGTATGAATATAGGGGAATCGAAAGAAAAAGAATATGGGAGTGCTTATGCAACATGGAGAGGGGATGATTTAGGCTCACTTGATCCAACCCCAACTATAAGAGTTAGAAAAAAGAAACGTTTAAGGCCTAATGTAAAGTAGTGAAGTTGTTTGAAGTCTCTGTCTCCCACTGTACTTTTAAAAAATAGCAACAACAGCTTTAAAGTTTTTACGTTAAATTCTAAGGTTGACTGGATTTTCTTTGATACTACAAATTGTTTCTTAGTTGCCATACAAACTGTTTTTATTCAATTTAATATAAAGTGATAAAACAGAGGCGACTCTCCATATCAATTTCTGAAAGCAGTGGATTATCCTTAAATATATATTTTGATATAACGCCGGGATTACTACAAGCAGCTCTGTGCGTATTGTATTTCAGAGTGAGCATCATCTCAAGTGTCCCCATTCATCTGTAAGACTAAACGCTTTTTTTTCTCACCCCGCGGTCTGGGACTTTAATGAGAGGCGGAGCTGCGGTGGCAGAGATTATTCATGAAAAAACACTGACATTTTTTCAAACAAACGCCTTCGGGTTTTAGTCATTTGCCAGTTAGTGGCGTTTGAGAACACAGAAAAAACAAGCCGACTCCTTTTTTTCCAGCTGATAACCCCACAGGCAGATTTCATGAAACTCTACGGCGCTCTGACGCCAGACAGCAGGAAACCTAACAGATGAGCAGAAAAAACGGACCGCTTCGTGATGACACGACGCACTGGCCCTTTATTGCGCGAATATTTCAACTTCAATATGTTTTATATTCGTAAAATACATTTTCCCGCCGCCTTTACAATTCTTTGCTTCTTAGTGTCTCCGGTGATGCTAAAAGATACCACAACGTGTCGGGTAAGTTAAACACAGAGCGCACTACAAAAGCGAAACGAGCAGGATTTATTTGCGTGAAATGACTGTAAACGCTAAATGAGAGTGTATTATTATTATTTCCAGTCAAATTAATGAGTGTATTTTAATCTTTTGCTTTTATTTTGTATGTTTGAACATCGGTTCAAGTTGCGCAACCGTGTTTACAGAGAGGAAATGTAAATTAAATCAGAACACAATGATTTAAGAATCATTTGAATGACTTATTAAATTTATAACAATGAAAACACACGCCAATCAAAAAAACCAAGTCAAAGAATCCTCCCCAGAGACCAACAGTTTCTTGCTGTGACTGATCAAAAATGGGGGACTTTTTTTGCTCACATCTTTGACTCTTTATATCGGAGTCACGCTTTTATGTGCGATACCTGATTAATGTGGTTTGAATTAAGCTGACTGAGACTGTCATTGGTCTGGATGGCAGCATATTTTGCCCTCAAACCTGTATATCGCTTATTATAGCACTAACAGTGCCCTCACAGATATCCAGTGGGCCATTTTTCTTTTTAAAATGACATAAATGTCTAAATGTTCTTCCTTATTTCTAAATATTTCCTAAACATATTTTTATCTTTGTTCTCCTTACTTTAGATTGGAAACCCAAAAGGTAAGTTATTTAATTTCTTTGACTTTTCTCATTGTGAAAGCGTGTGATAGCCGTCCTAACGCTCTTCTGTCCCTGCACAGATCATGTTGATGAAAGATGCCCTGTGGAAATGATAAGTTCTACTATCACTGGGAAGGCTTACTCTGAATGTGTTTCTGTTTATGTCTGGTTGAAAGCTGAGGGTACGGAATGCAACCATGCCTTCAAAGTTCATATATCCACTTCAAACACACATGTGGATGTATGTCACCACCTATAAAACTGTTATGTGGCACAACTGACAAAGTTGTTTTCTTCCAGATTTTAACAAGAGCCCAAAGCTTAAAATTCTCAGTCCAATTAAGAAGACACTTAAGCCTACCCTGAAAATACTGCCACTGAAAATACAGGTTGGTGTTACCTTTGCAGCTGCACCGAAGAGTGAGAAATGTCAGTATGACTATGCAGTTCATGATGTTAACAGGTACGGTGGTATCATCTCTCATTCTCTCCATCTCAGCGTGAGAATAAAACACGTAAAGGTGAAAAGTTCAGCTGTTGCAACTGTAACATACCGCAAATACCAGAGAGAAATACCAGTCGTCCCATGGTAAGATGGCTTTTTTCCTTTGAACTGCTAAAATATTAAGCATAGTTTTATAGATAAATATAACCTGATTGTGGCTGTTTTTTGTTTTGTTTTTTCATTTGCAGTGGGTGCTTGAATATGACTGTGTCAAGGCGAACACTGGAAACATTGTTTCTGTGCTCTACAGCACAAAGTCACTAAGCTGCAATGTCACGTACAGAGTAGAAGGTAAAGGTGATCTGGAATCTGAAATACAATCTGTGCATTTCTCTACTGGATAAATAAACTGATTGTTTCCAGACAACATGGTGTCATTTGATATTTTAATTGTGGTTGTGAACAGAGCAGTGAACATATAGATTTAGGTTGGTGGCTTCATGTAAATCACATAATTTCCATAGTCATCAAAAACACTTAGTGACTCAACATCACCGGTGCACCGATTTTTAACTTTTGCTCATTATCAAAACAATGGAAAGATTATCCAGATAGTTCTACGATACACATTCGTTGTCTTTGAGTTGTTCATCTGCACACACTCGTGTGCCTCCAGTTTTTCAAATATTCTGTGGCTTGTTTTGTGTGTGACAGAAAGCCCAGACTTCGATCTGTCTGTGGATTCGTCATCTAAATCTATCACTGTTGCTATGAAGAGAAAATCCATCAACGTCACCACGAAGAATGAATCTTTTACTGTTACCATGAACACTGAGGAGGTCTATGTCAGACACTGTTACGAAAATGAATGGAAATGCGAGGGCAAGACCAAGGGGCATCCCCTGAAAGTGAGTATTACGGGCAAGTTGACTTATTACCTTGTTTTTGGTAGTGTTTGCACACTCGTGTGTCATTCTGTCTGTGAATACGATGGCTCGAAAAGTTTTTAAATAATTCTGATGTTAACAATCCAAGAAAATTTGGGTTACGTCCACAAGGCCAACCAAATGACCGATTGGTTGAAAATGGGCAAAAAAGAATATAACTTAGAAACTATGACTCTTACAAATGTGGTGTGTATTGTCAAAATATAGAAAGGACCACATTTGACATTTTACGTCTCTTTCAAGGTCAATATATTTATCTAAAGGTCAAAGTGGTGATAATGCTCTATAAAGCTATTTCACATGACAATAATGTGTCAGCATGGGTTACTTTTTGAGTATAGTTAATTGTAAGTATAGTTATTATGGTGTTGTTACGTAGGTTACGTTTAACAGGTTATAACTGTTTAAATACATAACATATTGAATACATGTACAATGTGCTCAAATAAGTATTATTGTTTGAAAACAACATACACTGGTGATTAAAATCTTTTTTCACTTGATATTTACTACTAAACATTTAAATTAATTAAGTTAACAATCCAATGAAAACTATAGATGCGCTATATTCACGTAAATTAAAACTAGTTACACTCCAAATGAGGTAAAGTATATTAAAATGGGTTTCAAGTGGGCAAATTATTGGCCTGCACGTTGCTCTTGTTTTTACTGCACTGCAAACGTCTTAAAATATGTTTAAAAAGAACAAAAAAAATTAAATGGAAACATAAAAAAAATACAGTTGAATTCCCGCAATACTCACTTTTTAAAAAACAGCAATAGGACTGACCAAAAAATTGTACAGTAACACCAAATATAAGCAACAAACAGGCCAGAGTTAAACAGCGTTAAACAAAACAGAAGTCCCTAGAAAGTAACCTAAAATCACAGAGAACATCTCACACTGGGGCAAGGCCAGGGACTCAAAGTGGACTCAAACGTAAATATTCCATAAGAGAGTGAGCTCGGCGCGATTTGTTTTGTAATGTGTTTGTGTGTGCTTTACAGATTGATACGTCCCAGTCAGCTGTTCTCAACATCTCTTACCTGCTGCCCTGTGTGTGCATAGAGGTGAGCTGAGTGTAATCTTCAGTGGAGCAGTATTTTATGTTGTCAGTATTCTTTCTTACACCAGGTCTTGTTTGCATTGGCAGGCATATTACACCCACACCGACGCAACGCGGCGTAAAAAGTGCCCCATTAAAGAGACGGGAGTCATGGGTGAGTGTGACTGAGAACGTTTTTAGGCGTTGTGATGTTTAGAAAGGGAGACAAGAAACTTTCGAATTGAATTCTTTTTTTAAAGCACAAAATGTGAAAACAGGACAACACCAAGCAGATGGTCCTCCGATTACATTAAACTATAAGTAAGTAACCAGGTTTTAGGGAAAGTAAAAAAAACTGCACACAAGCCAGAGGGACGCACTTCTGTCTGAAGACAGCATTAAAACCGCGCACAAGCGAAACATTCTTCTGCGTGTCTGTGTTCACAGCATGATTCAGATAACTTGGGACCTGAATTTACTGGTTCCTAGTTATAGCTGATTCAGTAGTGACACAGATTCTTCAAGATAAGGCAGTTTAATAAAGTAACAAGTCAAAGAGAATAAAGCCCTCAGGGAAGTGAGAACTCAAAGGCTGGCATGCAAAAATGAGTTCCGTCACAGTTTTATGGCAATTGAGAAACCAAATCCCATAACTTCAGAGCCCGAGCTTACCCAATACTTCTTATCCAAAATTGACTTTTTGAATAAGTATAAGGGTGTCGTCATTTTGCCCCTTCTCGAACTCCCTAAGACCTGGTAGTACGTCCTCCTCTGAGCTCTCTCTCTCTGATGTGTGGCCCTCCTCCACCTCACATCCTCACAGCACTCAGTGTGACTCCACTTCCACATTTCTGAGTAAAATCCTGTCTGCGTCACTTAGCCCTCTATCATACCATCCATATTGGGGAGCCATGACCTCACAAAACAGGTTTATGTGAGAGTTGGGTCTGAGGAATGGAGTTTAAAAAAAGAAGCTAGACTCTGACAAGTTATTTGTTAATATGATGTTTTAGTAATCAGACGTGTTTCTGTCATCTAACTCTTTTAATTTTCATAAAGTAAAACTTTTTTAGTAAAACTAATTGGAAACAATGCATCACATCATTCTGTGATCAAACAACAACAAAAAACCCAGAAAACAAACAAAGAATTTTGAGGAAAAATTGAAAGATGTAACATTTAAATTTGAATTAATGAAATAATAAATAAATATCCAAACATTTTTTCTTCTGGCTCTCACGAGGATATGCCAGTCCTCTAAAGCTAGGACTTCTGGCTTAAGCCATTTCTTTGTATTTGCTTTCCTGTCCATTAAACTTATCAAGAATCAAAGTAGGTCGTTATTTTGTAAACTTGCAGATGGAGAATTTAGAAATTCATAATTGTACAAAACAAAAAAGAAATATGTTATTATTTGTCCTTAATAAAGCAACTAATTCTGCAAATAATAGTAATGTGTTCCAGTTTTGGACACGTCCAAAATATGTGGTAATGGCCGGCTTTTTGGAAGCCACGGTTTCTCCAACAACAAGAAGCTTTGGAAAAGGAGCGCTCTACAGCTTTTAAAGTGCTTATCTGTGAAATACTTGATAAATACAAGGCTCTTCATCATTCCCCTTGTCTTACAATCTTTCACAATGCCAAAAAATGCAAACCTCACACAAGCTACAATGCAAGTTTTGTTACAACAAACGGGCCTATCACAGTAAAACAAAACAAACTGACTCTTGTAATGCAGGATTCTGCAGCGTACGATGTTGCAGATTTCCGTAAGCACATCTGTGTCAGTTACTCCCATCCTCTTCCATTGTTGTGTTCAAGGAAGTTTTATTGCATTACCAGAAAGTGCTGCCAACTTTTTGTTGCAGTTGCAGTGGTTGTGTTCTCTAAAGTGGTTGTGTTTCATTTATTTAGATTGAATACATATTAAAGAGATTCATTTTTATCCGTATGACAAATACACGTAATTACCCACTTAATTAACTTATTGAATTTATGATCTGAGCTTTGCGACATGATGCGTTTCCTGTTGGAAGCAGCCATCACAAGATGGGTACAGTGTGGACATAAAGGGGTGGACGTTGTCAGCAACAATACTCAGGTAGATTGTGATGTTTCAATGATGCTCAGCTGATACTCAGGGGCCCAAAGTGTCCCAGTAAAAGGGGCTTCACACCATTACACTCAAATTCTGACTGTGATCCAAAGGTCACAGCACAAATCGAGACTCATCAGATCAGGCAACATTTGTCTGCCATTCTGTTGTCCAGTTTTTTGTTCTTAGCTGACAGGAATAGTATGCTGCTGTAGCCCATCAGCTTCACATCTAGATGTGTTTTGCATTCAGAGATGCTCCTTGGCATGCTTTGGTTGTAACAGCGGTATTTCAGTTACTTATTGTATTCCCGCAGGCTTGAAGCAGTCTGGCCTTTCTCCTCTGACCGCTGGCATCAACAAGGCATTTTCACCCAGAGCTCTGCCACTCTGGGTGGTTTACACCATGCTCTGTAAACCTTCCAGATGATTGCGTCGGGAAAATCCCGGTAGATCAGCTGTTGTAGAAAGTTGTTTTGACCCTGTCTGCATGCATAAATACGCTGAATTACTGCCATGTGATTGGATGATCAGATATTTGCATTAACAAGCAGTTAAACAGGTGTACATAACACTCTGGCAGGTTAATGCAAGTTTCAATATGTGCTGTTATGGGGACTTCTTTGTTTGTTTGTTTACGTAAGATAATACAAAAGAATTATGTTGCTGTATCCTTTTAAGAGATAATATTGTTACAGAAGTTATCCAGCAGAGCAGCTGTGACTCCATTATTGATAATACTGCCAGTCTGCTACGCAGTAACTGATACAAGACGCATTTTTGTATTAATATGATAACAGGATTTAACACGTTTCATGGTACTTATATAAAGCTTTTTCTACTCAGGTTGAGCACTTGAAGCACTTACTACAAGCCTCATTCACCCATTAATGCAAGTGCCTTTTGTTTTCTATGTCTAAGCACTTTTAAACTAATATTCATGCACTCACCCTCTGATGGATGCGTCGGGAGAAACTTGCCGTTCAGTATCTTGCCCCGAGCTACTTAGACATGAAGGTTGGAGGAGCCAGAGTTCAATACACTGACTTTCCACAGCCTCTTCCACCTACTGAGCCACAGCCGTCCCAAATGAGTTATAAAGCACTTTTAAAAACAGCAATAAAGTGCTGTACAATAACACCAAACATAAAAGGCAAACACAGGCCAGAGGGTAAAAGACTCTATAAGAGGCCCGAAAGTAAGAAACCCCCAAATTTCTAGTCTTAACCAAACTGAACAATCCTGGTCTATTTCTTCATTCTTTTAGTGTTGTTAATAAGTTGTAGGTTTATAGTTATGGAACAAGAGACTCTTGCAAATGCAAATGCAAAATTAAAAGTGTCTTCATGACGATGAACAAGAAGGTGTTCATTTTTTTTGTTATTATTTTTGTCTGTCTCGTTGTCTAAAACTGACCCTTAAAATGCATATGTTCACATACATCTGTGCATGTCTGTTTGGTGGTGTTTATTGTGATCCAGTGATACAGGTTGGCCAACGTTTGCATCCCGGGAATGTTATTGGCATGTCGTTCTAATGTTTTTTGCGTTAACATCGCCTCAACAGATGCCAGAGATGCGTTTTCCTCCTGTAAAATCACTTTCTACACGGACGGTTTTACGCTGTGTACACTGTGCCCAGCCAGCCCGCTGAACATCTCTGCCTCCCTCTGCTGGATGCAGCACAAACACCTCTGCACGCCTGTGCTTAACTCCACCCTGGAGAAGAAAGACAGGCTTGTAAGCATAGCAGCATCCATGATGAATATTTGTGGAAAAAAAAAAACACATTTTTTTTTGTTTGTTTTTTTAAAGACCAATTTTGACTTTTTAGCAGAAATATGACACTACTGCAGTGGACAAACACCCTCAGATGTGTGTGCAGGTGAGAAGCACCTAGATGCGTTGATTGGAAACTACCGCTACCTGCCGTTTATTCACAGATGTTAATTCGTTTTTACAGCTTTCTGTACAAGGAATACGCAACATCTCTTGCCCTTTTACAGCAGGTGAGTGGGTGGATGTGGGATGGAGGAATTCTACTAACAGCTCTAATAAGTCTCAGGTTGTTTGTGTGCTTTTCCCTTATGCACTCAGTCTTCCTTTTTGTCCCCCACAGATACGCCTTCTTGGGAGGTCTCTATTGGACCTGGAAGGCAGATGATAATGGTACATGTCAACTCTTTTTCTCCAGCAACGTTTTCAAGCCAACTCTGTGTCCTTACTGAGAGGGAATGCACAGCTGTAGGGAAAGCACATTCAGTTACAATGGTTGGTAAAAAAAATATGCATTTTTAATACAGATTAAAAAACAAGGAAAAAATTCATGCTAAAGGACAAAAATGTGAACATGTGTGCATATGTTCTCTATTTTATAGGAAGGAAACAGAAGTGAAAAAATAATAAATTTGCCTCTTCACTTTTATTCTAAAAATCCTTGCGTCCAGGTAAATATACATACACACATACATGTATGTATTTCTGGATTTTATGCATTTTATCATCTATATTCTCGTGCTGTTGTTCAGGTGTGGCAGTCGGATCCTGTTCGTCGTGGAAGAAGAATTTTCTGCCCGGACTGTAAGTGTGCTCACAAACCTGAACCTGCCAGCATAAGTTGGTGCATCTGATTGTTCATACACACACAACTCCTACAAAGTAAATACATTCACCATTATCTGTTTTATTTATTCTTTCCTGTTTTTCTTACAGACACCCACAATAGACGCGGCTTGTATGCGGTGGCAGTTCTGATATTTGTGTTTGTAGTTGTGTCGTTTGGAATTTTTATCCACCGTGCTACAAAGAGGGGAGCTGCAGGTTAGTTCATTTACCTCACTGCAAATCATGTTTTCATATGGAAACCATTTACAGTTTCAAGGCACAGGCTAATTTAAATTGAATGACTACTCTGCCTTGAATTTATTTCAATTCATTTCTGTTATTTTAGCTTCACTGTTGGTCTTAAAGGAGCAACTAAAACACATAAAGGACATGCTCTCCCCCCCCTTGTCTTTTCCGATAAATTTAGGTTGGCTGTATATCCAGAAGCCACTGCTGCTGGTGTGTTCATCAGGTCAGTCGGACCATATCTCTGCTGTGTGTGCATTAGCCTCAATTCTTCAGGAGGAGCTAGGTGCCACAGTACGCACACCTCTGTGGGCCCAAAACTCTCAAAGCCAGGATGAGTCGGGGCCTGGTGTGGCAGATCTGGGCCCACTTCCCTGGCTGTATGGCCAGTGGGATGCTGTCTGCAAGGAGCAAGGAAAAGTGCTTGTAATTTGGAGTCCTGAAGCCAAGAAAACCTATCAGAAGTGGACAATAGAGAGGGCAAACACAGATCAGAGTGAAAGAAAAGAGGTAGACTGCAGAAATGCACACACGAAACATGAGAAAACCAAGGCAGAGCTGGAAGAGGATGTGAAGCAGAATGGAAGAAAATTAGGAAAATTTAAAAAAGAAAAAGCTGTTGGAAAAAAAGATGGTGCTAAATTATGTGACGATAAAGACTCGTACCGACAAAAGGAGGCCTCTGCATTGATAGAGCCAATGTTCACAGCTGTGCTGGCTCGCTTAAAAAGGGTGCTGCAGGAGCACAAAAATCAAGAAGTTGTTCTTATCTATTTCCAGGGCCTCGGCCACAGCAAGGATATCCCAAAAGCCTTCAGGGAGGTCCGTCAGTACTGCTTACCCCAGGATTTCAGGGGTTTAATAGGGGAGCTGGGAGAGATGACAAGAAGTGTTGAATTTAGGTGGCACTGCTGGCCCAGAGTCCTTTCTAAAGGGCTGGCAATATGGCTGGCACAGAAACTATCTCAGAGGCTGCAGACGCTCGTGCCTCAGACACAACGAAATAAAGTGCAATCAAGAAAATATCCTCGATGAAAAAGACATTACATAAGCCTGAGAGCAGTCTGAAGTGGCCTTTAGCTGCCAGACCCTGAACTGTGCAGGTGTATGTGTTTCTACACGGGAGAAACACTACCACTACCGTGGAAAGCAGAGAAGTTTTAATCTCAAGTTTCAAAGTGACAGAAGTGGGTTTTTTTGTTTTTTGTTTTGCTGGAAACACGAGACACGGGAGCCGGTGTTCCATTGCAAACTCCTGAAACCCTCACTCTGTACGAACTATTCATTACCGAGCTCTGCTATGTCCAGTATGCCACAAGATGTTTTGCATGTTAAGAAGAGGTAAACACTCTGTCCTTTGCACAGCATTTAGCCTCTGACAGAGGGTTCTTTATATTGCTTTCGTGACTGAAGCCCTAGTGAACACCTGTCTTATCTGCACGAATATGCTAACCACTATGAAAATCTTGTTGCAAATAATACCCCACTTTTTTCATGAACACATTTAATGTTTCAAAGTGTTGTGACAGCACAGGTGACAAACTGCGTGACTGCTGTTTACAAAAAACCGTCAAATTTGCATAGGATTTTCTAAACACAGACATTAAGCCAAAGCTTTCATCGGATTTCCACTTTTACTGCAAATGTAAAATGTGCTTCACTAATTAGAAAGTAACTGCATTCATGTGTTTATCTTTTTGGCATTTAGTGGGTTTGATAGCTTTTTGTAGTAATAACTCCTATTTATGACTGGGGCTACTTCTACAGCTGTGTCTACATGTGTGTTTTTTGCACACATACTACCTCCTGCATTTTAAAAGTGAAGAATAATTAACATTTTGGCCTTTTTTTGTTGTTGTTGTATTTTTTCCCCATTGTGTTTTTCACTATGCTTGTTATTTAATGAAGGGAAACGAAAAATGAACATGAATGGTAAGACTTGGCTGGGGGACTCAATGAGACAGAAACAGATAAAGCCAGTATTATTCAAATTATCCAACGGAAAACATGTAGTGCAGTGGTTACCTCAAAATCTCAGAGCATTAGAACAAGAAAACCGTGTCTGTGGTACTTTCCCATGTCTTATATTTATTGCAGAAGTTTTATGAACTTCAACGGTGAACATTATGCAAAGTGAGTTTAAACAGAAAAGTGACATCTCATCTGGATCTACAGACAAAAGTGATTGACCTTTGAAGAAGTGTTTGTTCAGTTTTAGTCATTCCCTGAAGCTGTTTTCCCTTCTTAAGTATTTTAAGGTGGCATTAGCCTGCGGCACTGTTTGCATTATAAGAATATGTTTTGAATAAAAAACAGACTGCTTGACAAAATAATTACTTTGACAAAGTATCTCTTTAATCGCAGAAATTTCTTTTTTCTGTATTTGTCGCCTGTTTTATGAACTTCATATAATAAGTTGTTTGTTCATTTGAGTTCCGGCAGCACATCACCGAGCAGGAGCTTGAGTGACAGACTTGCTAGACAGGATTAATCGTGAAGTAAACGTCTGCTGCATGATTTAGCAACCCGCAGCAAAGAAAACACGAAGGTTTCCATGTAAGTTTCTAGATTCCTACAAGACCTCTGGAGGGTAGTTTGATGTAATACTGTAGCTGCAATAAAGTCACAATTTTATAATGTTACATGAATAAATACATAAAATAAATACTTAAATCAAACAAGTTACATGTCTTGCTAGTATCATTTTGTTTAAACTGCAAAGGAGGGCATTTACTCTGGTAATAGACAAATGTATATATGCATCTGCATGGTTTGCATATCTCTCTTAACCTCCTAGGACCTGGCGTCCACATATGTGGACATCAATTTTGGGTTACTTAAACCAAAATAGTCAATTTTGTTCTACAAGGGCCTGATATCCACTTATGAGGACATTATACTGTTCGATTGAAATTTTAAACGAATATCTTCATATGAGGCTCTCATTTCTCTTAAAAACAAAATTCAGGTAAAAAAGAAAAAAAGAAAAAATCTGTTATTTCTTTGTTTTTACATTCATCGGGTCCCAATATTCCCAAATATCAAAGAGAAATTAAAAATGCACACCATGAAAGAGTTCGGGTCTTAGTAGTTTAAACAAGCAAGGTTGGTCATGTTTCAGGTGCCATAAAATGAGAAGTGAAACGAAAGAGTTTGTTAGTGCAGGTGTTTCAGTTTTCTTGATAAGATTACTAATCTAACACACAGTGGACCAAATTGGCATGTTCAGTTAGAGAGAAGTTAAAGGAAAACGGAAAAAACGAGTAAGCAGCTTGCAAGTGAAAACAACAACAACAACAACAACAACAACCATAAAGCATCCATCTACATCATTATTGTCACGATGATGGCAAAGTTTAACTGAGCAACATAATGAAACTCTTCCCGCTGAATCATTACGACTGTTTTCAATCTGTTGCAAAAAAAAACTCTCAAAGAACATAAAAAACAGATCATAAAAATGTTGGCAAACACGTGGTTGTTGTGACCGTTTAAGATAATGAAAACTAAACAGACTTTTGTTCTGATCAGCTTCTTGTTACTTTTTGACTTTCTCTCTTCACAACAATCAGTGTGAGTCATGTTGCCAGGCAGGTTTGTTTTTACAATTTGGTGTGCGTGTCGCTTTATGTTTATGTTGCTGAATGATTCACCAGCCCTGCAGAAACTCACGTTGCCGCTGACAGCTTTGCCCCCTCCTCCCATCAAACCTGCGCAGGTGGAGCAGATACACGCCCAACTCCAGATTATTCAGTTATCAGGAAGGGCGGTGAAACAAAATCCCAGGAGCCTCACGACGCGTCGCTACTGTCGAGCTAGACATGATCGCGATTTTCTCGTCCTGCCGAGCTCGGTGCTTTAAGTATAAGAAGCTCTGATTTTTATGTGTCCCGTGAGGAGGGGAGCGTAGCCGTGGAGCAGGAGACGTGCGTCGGAGTGAAAGGGCTTGTGCTAGGCGCACTCCAAAAATATGGGTCTCACACTCCGGTGGGTGCCACACGTGGTCTCCCTGCTGTTATCGCTGTGTTTCTGGCTGTTCGTGTCGGCAGGCGCGCTGGAGATTTTTGACCAAGACACACCTGAGTTCACCTGCAGCAAGGTAAGTGGGAATCCTGGGAACTGAGAAATGTTTGTTTTGGAATCAAGCGGTTAAAGAGTGACTCTTCTCTATGGGGCGAGAGTATTTATGACTGCTCAGTTTTAAGCTTGTAGCGCTTGTATTATGTCTACTATAGCGTCATTATCAGGTCAGACACTAATAAAAACAACGCAAGTTATGGGCGGTTAATGATTTAAGTGATCTAACTATAAAAGTGTGTTACCAAATTTTGTTATTGCTATCTATTTAAAAAAAAATGTAGGTGCAAAGGTAACAAAATTTACTGTGCAAACGTCGTCTTCTTGGAAAATTAGGATAAGAGACACCCTGTCCTGAGTCAGATGTTCATTACTTATTTACTCATCTACCTGAGTCTGGCACCTTACTCCGACACTCCAATTCCGTGGAAGGTAGCTTGACTTCCCTGAAACTATTGTGTCAGAAATGGCAGTATTTATGCACATGATGCAGTATGTAACATTATTTACATAAATCTTAACTGTCTTTATTCCTTGACTTTAAGCGGCAGTGAACATCATTGACATCGACATGACATTTTCATAGGCGTTGCTGATTTGTCAAACAAAGAACAGAGATAAAAGCATTCAAAGCAAAAACACGGAGCATACATAGAAGAATACAACGAAACATAAGCCTTTAAATCCAACATTGAATAAACATAAATGTGCACGCAGGAATGAAAGCAAATAAGTCATTGCAGTAGCATCAGATAAGGGTTAATATAGTGATGGCAGGATGAGTATGGATCCTCTTTAATTCTATAGGTGTGGGCAAAAATAACAGAGTGGTGCAGGACACATATCAGGAGAGAAACCGTGATGGAGAGTGACAGATAGGTTCAAGCTGGTGGTGGGATTTCATCCGTTATGGGATCTGAACCCCTTGTTGTTTGCGATGGTGATGGACATGCTTATAAATGAGATCACACAGGAGTCTCCGTGGACTATGATGCTCACAGATGAGTGAGAGTAGGGAGCAAAAAGAAGGGGAAGCTGGATAGGAGAAGGTTTGCACTGGAGAGAAGAGGAATGAAAGTTAGTAGAAGCAAGAAAGAATACATGTGTGTGAATGAGAAGTAGACAGGTGTAGGTGGTTTTAATACCCGGGTTCAACCATCCAAAGCAACAGAGAAGTGAAGGAGAGTGCAGACAGGTTGGAGTGAGTGGAGATAAGTGTCAGGGTGATTTGTGGTAGTAGCGGATAGTACAGGATGGTAGCAAGAGTGAAAGGGAAGGTTATTAATTTGGTAGTGAGACCTCCTGTCGTCTGTGGCTCTGATGCCAGATGTCAGTGTAGCTCCCAGAGTGAGCAGGTGACCATGAGGCAGGAAGCAAAATACAGCAGCCTGCATTTAGCTTCAACCCGAGGCTATCATCCCCCCACTCTCTCTCTGCTTTTCTGTCTACTCATCACTGTAATAAAGGCAAAAAGCTCCAATATAATGTTTTAAAAAAAGACAAGAAATTGAGGTGGTGGTAGAGCTGAAGATTTCCACTGGTAGTGAACAGGATGGACAAAATTAGAAAATAATACATCAAAGGAGGAACTCAGGTACAGTACTTTGGAGAGGCAAAGTTGAGTTGGTTTGCACATGTGAAGAGCAGAGAGAGTTGATAAAGTGGGCAAAGGATGCTGAATATTCAGAAAAGAGGATGATGGCGCTGGGGATAGGGTCAGATGGAGGCAGAGGATTTGCTGCGGTGACCCCTAAAGGGAGCAGCCAAAACAAGGGGAAGCAAGATATTGTAGAAGAATTACTCTACTACTACTGCAAGAGAAAAGTAATAACAATAAAAAATAGACAGAACAAAGGAAATATAAATGCATAAAGTATTTGTTTTTTTTAAATAACCGAAATGTTATTATAAAAATATTTGGAATCAGGCTTTCAAATATCTGAAGCTGCTCACTACAGTTGTGTGATAAATTGAAAGTGTTTAACTTAGTTTTTAAAAAATATGCAGGATATGTCTCTATTTACCAGACATTTTACTTACAATTGTTGACATCAGTGGTACCTTTTAGATGTGATTCATTCAACTCTCGTTCACATTTTATTCTTTCTTCAGGGTTTGACTGACTGCCATGTGGATCAAGGTAGCAGCATGATCAGTACTTGCACATCCACTCTCACTGTTATCATCTCAATCCCAAATAAACCTTTTTGTCTAAAGCAGAAACGCTCTTGTTTTCACAGCTCCGTTTTCTGATGACTTCCCTGATCCATACAGTAAAGTTGACGTTACACAGTTGCAGCTCGAAAGTGTTCTCTGCTGTTCAAACAAACAGAACTGCAGTCTTTGCCTTCAAGTCACCATCACTCTACAAGGTAGCTTTGCCATAAATCATTTTGAGAGACTACTGGGACGCACATTTCATAATGATGTCAAGCATCATATTTGATGGCGACGCTCTTAATGTTAAAATGTTTTCCTGCATTCTTATCATAGCTGTCGAGCTTGTTAACCTGTCACATGTCATGAACTAATGTTGTATTTCATGTTGCTGACATGATGATGATCCAAGTTGACGAAATGGGTATCGTGACGGATGTTTCTGAGGAGTCGGGTGATGACGGCGAAAAAGAAGGTGTGTGTGTGTCAAACAGCAGACCAAAGTTTGAGTTTGTTAGCAGTTAGAATCACGTGCTTCGAGCACAAAAAATGTAACATATTTTTCCATGACATTTTTCTCTATATTACAGATTTTGTGAAAGTGCATTTTAGTGTCCCGGGAACGTTAGACTGTTGGAAGATACTCTATTTTAAACAAAGCAACACCACTGTTGACAAGTCGACATATAAGGTAACATTAGGAAAGAGTGAAGGTATTATTTATTGTCTGATTTGTTTTTATTCTGGATTAATTAAGTAATCTGTGGGGTTGGAGACTATATTTGTTTTGTTTCACTACATGAAAGAGACATTTAAAATGTCATAATCATTCAAACAACAAACTCTTAACTATTAAACATGGCAAAATAGTGTCAATTTTTCATGTTTCGAACGTCTGAGTTTAGGTTTTCCTTCTTCGGTTCCAGTCCAGATAGTAGCACAAGTAAGCATAGATTGGAATTGCGCCTCAAATAACAGGGAATAAGTAACACGTCACACTTTTTTTTTTTTTTAGGTTGTTGCAAAATTCTATAAGGAAGTTGCTTGTTAAATAAATAACTGGAAACAAGCATGAAGAGGATATTAATACAAAGATTAAACAGAAGGCTAGGGGTATTTATAGACATATGAGGTAATCAGTTAAACACGGAGGGTAACAAGACATGACAGCAACTAATTTAAACAGTGACAAATGAGGCACTGAAGGGTGCAGCAAACTTATGAAATACAAACAGTAACTAGAATTAAACCAACAAGTACTAAAAACAAAGTAAATTCAAACCTGTACAATAAACTAAAGTAAGAGTAATAAAATCATAATGCAAGCAAACATAGCAGACAGAAACCAGAACTCGCACCCAAATTAAAAAACACAAACCCCCAGACACGGCACAACCCCACACCTCCTGGAGCCCATGTTGCTCTTTTGGAGCTCAGACTATCAACCATTAATTAGAGATATTTTGTTGCTTAACAAGTGCACTATTTTTTGGGGGGGGGGGATCACACCTCATTTTTACTTTGCGCTTCACTTGAGTTGAATATTCAATTAAGGATGTTGTTTTAAACTGTTCTATTTTTATGTTTCTGCCTAAGTAACAGATATGAATGCTTTCTCCATTATGGATAGACTCTCTGCATTCTCATAAACTCAATCTAAGAGCTTTACTATATACAATTAAATGTTTTAAAGTTTACTACATATTTCCTGCACTTCCAGCTGCTGTTGAGAGAAAAAGTGCAGTTCGGCAGTCATGTTATGGTCAGTGTAGACTCAAAGAGTCAAAATATGACACTTCCCTCTTTAAAAAATGGTGAGTTTAAGTTAATGGGAGCAAAAATATGATGAATTGTAGAGCAGTGTTACCCAACATTTACTACACCCTCTGTTTTTCAGTTTGTGATGAGGAGCCTAACGGAACTATAAAGGAATGTGGTAAGACACTTTCAAAACCCAGGAGTAAAATGCAGGCCTGGTAAAAACGATTTTACACCATTGAGTGAGTTGATCCAGCCAAGTTCTAATTTATGACTATTGAAACTAAGGTCCCAGACTCTGTGTGAAAGATCAGGGGAGGAATGTCAAACTGCAACTTGTAAAAGCTGATGTCAGACAAGGAGATGCAATCACATGGCAGATGGTTTGGGATAAAATTCCTGCAGAACAGCGTGAATGGGTGGGTCAATATTTTGTTCTGGTAATGCAAAATCAGCATCATGCATGTTTATTTGTTTGTTTAACTTTGTTTTCATCTTTGGCAGCCCAAAGAGAAGGATGAGGTGGTCATACCATCAGACTTTGTTGCACCATGCCTGTGCTTCCAGGTAAGCTAAAATATTAAGTGACAGCTAAGCTATTGGAAAATACATAAATATATATAATATAATAAATATAAAATTATTTACAGGCATGGTGGAAGGGATCATCAAGAACACAAATCTGCCCTTTCAAAAACAATGAAGGTAAATGGTGTTGCCTGACATCAACTTCAGAAGACATTTGCATGGGACATTAATTTTCAGACATGGAGAATTGCATGTTGTTTTTGTTGGGTTTTTTTTTTTTTTTTTAGGTGCACTCGAAAATATGCAGCACAGTGTGTCTGCAACTTTGGTGGAGTCTCAGCTGAGGGATGGTGGCATAGGGCTGATCTGGAATGTAAGTGCGCCGTGTATACTGGAAGCAGAGGTGTGGCTGTGCAAGAAAGGCCAGGTGGGAGGCCAGTGTGAAGAGGTGATGGGTTCCAGACAGAGACTACAAGCTAATTGGGATGAACGAAGCAACAGATACTTGGTAAAAACAGCAAAAAGCCTGAGTGTGATGTAATGTAGTTTTCATGAGCCACTATGTTATAATTTTGGAAATGACTGCTATGAGTCAATATGTTCTTTTCACTGTGTCTCCAGAAAAACAATGCATTGTTAGCACCAAAAATAAACTTTAAACCTTATAGTCAGAAAAACGCAGAAACAATGAAGCAAATAGGATTTTTTTTTTCCCTTCTTCCAAATGTAAGAAACCAGACATAAAGCAGACAGCAAACAGTCAGTTAAGATTATTTTAATAACTGGAGTCTTATTTCTGACCATCTTCCTCATTTTGGGCTTAACTTCATACAGAGCTGCCTTGTTTGCCTTGAAATATCTCTGTCATGAGTCACTCAGTTCAAACCATCCTCTGCCCTTTTACATAACTCAGACAAACAGATATCTACAGAAGAATGGCGAAACAGTTCCAAGCTTGATTCACCTCAAGAAAAAACAAAGAAAAGAAAGAATGTGTCCAACATTTAAATAGATATTCAGTTGTACTAGAATTTGAAGTCTCAACATGAAGTTTTAAGGCTTAATTCAGTTTTTTGGGGGGGGGGGTTAATTCAACTCTAAAAATACAGTTTTAAATTAGAATGTTTAAAATGACTGGATTAGCCAATAAATTACCAGAAGGTTGATTTAAACACACCAGAAATTTAGACATGCTTAAAAAGCAGAACCATGGGGAACGTGAAGCCATGACGCTTTCTTTTATCATGATCACATAAAAGAGATCACATTCATGAGCGGTGATCTTACAATATCAGAATTAGATGAAAAACAATTTGTAACAGAGGTTTTATAAATGTCTTGAGAATGCAGACTTTCTATTTTTGTTTTGTTTCTTTTAATCCTTGAAATATTTAATGTCTGCGCATCATCCAGTGCCCCAATGTGTGGGAACAAAGCTTTTACAAAAGTTTTTTCAACTGGCTGCAAACGAACAACAGAAAAGAAAAATGCAAGTCAGGTGATGCGTGAAGAGCCTCTGTCAGTTGCATTTGTTGATTTGAATGACATGCTGCATTTTGTTCTGTTATGATGGTTCACTGAAGTCAAAAGGATCGGTGATGAATCTTCTCTTTTTTTCTTTATCGCTCTTTATTGGCTGTGATTGACTATGACTTTTCTTTGAACCCTTCAGCAAACCGGAGAGTTCAATGTGCCATCTCACCCTCTGCTATGTGTTCAGGTGATCAAACATAAAATTATTCATGAAACTGTGAATGCATTTATCACTATACAGACTGTGCTAACATAAACGTCTGCCTTTATTTTTTTAGATGAAGATTAACGGGACAAAATCACTCTTAGAGCCCCAGTGTCCGTTTGCCAGTAAGTCTGCATTGCTATCTATTAGATTAATGGAATAATTTATTTTTTTCAAGCAACATCTAAAAAATCCCACTTTCTTTCATTACTATGTAACAAGTAAGCAACTACATAGTGACCTTTTAAAAAATGTATAATATTCCATTTCTTTATTAAAGTTTCATATTTTCACATTTTTACAGCATCTCGATTGCGATGGAGTGTGGTGCTCATCATTGGATTACTACTCGTGTGTTTAGCAATACTGGGAGCGTATTTAATACAAGGGATTCTACAAGGTCAGTTTCCTGTTCGAGTGTCAATGAAAAACAGAATAATTGAATAAGTGTTCTTAGAAAATATCTTGAAGGCATCTTTGTTTTCCATACAGGCTATGTTTGGAAGTGGCTGAAAGACGAAGACGTTAAAGGTAGGAGAAAGTCTGACGTTAATTTCACACTGGGCCACCAGTATTTCCACATTCCTTGTTTTCATGTTTTTGTTTCCAAGCTTACTTGACTTTTATGCCATAATCTTGATTTGAGTGATAATTCTCTGTAGATTTCTTTGATCAAATACTGATTGTAGCCATTGACATCTGCTATTTCAGGGGCTGTGGGCGGTGTTCATGTTGTGTTGCTGTACCCACCTGATGATAACCCTTGCCTGCCAGAGCTGTTGTGTCATTTGGGCTCATCTCTCCAATCACTGGGCTTTAGTGTGTCTCTAGACCTGTGGAGCCATGCTGAGCTCAGCATGCTGGGACCTGTGCCGTGGCTCCACTCACAACTTGATCAGCTACAAAGGCAAGGGGGCAAAGTGGTGCTAGTCTTAACCCAGGCCTCCTGGACAAAGGCTGAAGAATGGGGAGCTCAGCGCTCAGAGAGGAAAAGACATATGGAAGAAGAGGCAGGAAGAGATTACCCTGGGTCTTCTCGCTGTGCAGATGTTTTCAGTGCTTCACTGAGCTGTGTTCTAGCAGACTACTTACAGGGCCGCGCTGGCGAACGGTTTATGCTGGTGCAATTTGAATCCCTCCCACCTGAGCCCCCAGGTAGCTTCCGACCGCTGCCAGAACTTTTCCGAGGCCTGCATGTCTACAGCCTTCCATCCCAGAGCCTGGGTTTCCTGACTGAACTGGCTGGAGCTCGTCAAGTAGCTACTGCATCAGCCAGACGGAAAAGAACCGGGGGGCTCAGGATGGCATCACGGGCTCTAGCCCAGAGACTGTCAGCATTCACAGCAGGGTCAAATGTATTACGCCTTGTAGGAGTGCATCAGAGTTGTGTTGCCGTAGGAGGGGAAGACTCTGGGGAAACTGTGCCATTGCAGCCCAGTCTTATCACACCCCCATCCAGCCCTGACACGGACCTGCAGGGCAGTGAAATGGAGTGGGCCTGACAATGCGACAGGACAGCTATGGTTCAGTTTTGGGATGAGCAAACAGTAATGACACAATCTGAACTGTTGCTCATCATTACAATAAAATATCACCACTTCCAAAGAAAAAGGTGACAGCAGATCCAAAGGTCTGTGATGACTATTTTTGAAAAGTAGCATGGCTCAGGAGGGCTACAAAATGAGAGTAAAGTGTGGAGAAAAACTCGCTGTGTGCACACACTTCTGTTTCTATGACACAACTACACACTTGTACTACTACTGCAAGTAAAAGTTTGTGAAGTTCATGAAAAAAATCTGCAGTACCTGTCCCATTTTTGGAGATTGACATGCATGTATTTTGGCAATTTTGCAGACTGTTAAGAACAACTGGAATTTCTGCATTGATTATTCATAAAATGTGTTCATCATCATCAACTTATACATGCTATTACATGTCTTTATTGAGCACGGTGAGTAATAACTGGCAGAGCAGACGGGGGAAAAAGTGAGTGAACTCTGTTTCTCTACCTTTGTTTTAACATTTCCGATAGCTGCTAATGAGGATTTACCCCCCCCCCCCCCCCCCCCATACCAGTTCTGTATAACTGCTATCAATGCGCTGAAAGTAATGAAGAAAAAAGAAACCATAATGTTGTGTTTCTGACTTTATATATGTAAATATATTTAACCAGTTTGTCTTGGCATGTTCATTTTGTTTTATACTGTTTTCGTTTTTTCTTGTTGTCTTAAATAAAAAGCTAATGTTGGTATGTCTTTGTGGCATCAAAAGAATAAGCTTCCTTGCATTTGCAGAATAAGCTCGTTGGCATTTGTTTAACATGCATATCTGTGAAAGCTTTAAGAATAAAAAAAAACAACACATTACAACAACAGTTTTTATTAAATGTTTGTTTTTTTTAACATGTTATTATCATCATCAGTTAGGGGGCCTAAATGCATCTAAGCTTTAATTATGTAGCTAAGAGTCAAGCCCGGCATGGTGATAGAGTGGTCACAGCAGGTTTCCTGGTTCAAATCCTAGCTGAGGCCTTTCACACCACCTCCACAGTGTCTGGAGTGGGCTTTCTTCCACAGTCCAGAGGCATACATTGTAGGTTAATTGCATGAGAGGTAGATAAAGTGTTTCAAGTGTCAGTAAGACCACTCAAGGAGTAGATAAATATGAATGCATTATGTGCCTAACTGGGTATTAATGTCTCTGTAAAGCACTTTGAATCACCTTGTTGTTGAATTGTGCTATACAAATAAACATGCCTTGCCTTGCCTTGTGCCTGTGCACTTTGCATCTGCAAGCACAAATAGTCACACTGTAAGAAAATAATTTAACAATAGCAAAATATATCTTTTTAAAAGATATGATTAAACTAACAGAGATTGAAACCAAGCTCAAAAGAAACAAGGCAGAGCCGATCTGCATTTATTTAATATTTATTGATAATTATAAATGCTGGTTATGAGGATCTTTATGACACCCTCTCCACCTTTAAGATTAGGCTCAAAACTTTCCATTTTGATAAAGCATATAGTTAAGGCTGGATCAAGTGACACCGAATCTTACCTGCAATAGGCCTAGGCTCCGGGTCATGATGTGCTGAGTGTTTCTTTTTCACTTACCTCTTTTACTCACTCATGTGTTTATACACCACTCTGCATGAATGCATTATCTCTGGCTCTCTTCCATGGTTTGTCTTTTATCCTGTCCTGCTCCCGTTCACCCACAACTACTTCTGGCTGCCCTCCCCTGAGCCTGGCTCTGCTTGAGATTATCATCACCATCATTTATTTATTTATATAGCACTTTAAAAACACCTTAAAAACACACCTGGTAGACCAAAGTGCTGTACAATACTAATATGCACATAGTTAGTTACTTCATGTTAAGAGGGTTGTTAAATTTTGGGGTGTTTTCTCTGTATTATAAAGCCCAATAAGAAGCGCCTCAGTGTGACTGCTGTTGTGATTTGGCGCAATATAAATTGAACTGAACCGATTACTATTTAAACACTATAATTCGATCTGTACTTGAAAATGAGTTTTAGAAATTTATTATGAGGGAATTCATGGTCGGGTCAAAATGGACCTGAACCATAGCATGACGGCACAGAATATGATCAGAATGAAACATTTAAAGAGTTAGTCTTAAATGTTTACATACTGTTTCATACTTGGACGATGCAGCACTGACTTATGTAAAGCTGGATGCTGAATGATTGGTTGATTGTTTAAATCCCAGAAGGTTTGGGTGGTTCCTCCTTATGGAAAACAGAGAAGCGACTGGAAGCTGTTTACTCATTCATTCATCTCACTGCAGCCCAGCACTACGGTACTAAAGCTCCTCTGTTGCGTTGTGAGCACTAACAGCATTAGCTAGCAAAGCAAACAACTGCTAAAATGACACGACTGAAGCGTTCAACGTGAAGTGGATGTCCAAAATGTGAAGCTCTGCCTGCATTTTTATGAACCTGAATCACCGGGGAATCCGACAATCATCATCATCATCATCAGTGGCACAGCGACAGCAGCAACGGAGGTGGTGGCTTCTCAGCAAGGTAAGACCTGGATCATCAATAAAGCCTGAAGCTAATTTCAAATTGGCTGCATTAATGCGGCTTAGTTAGTCCATATTTAATGCTAAATAGCCTAAGGAGGATATGGTAACCGATATCAACAATCTTTAAAGACACACCGGACAGATAAGCAGACTGTGATAGACACAGCGTTAGCTTAAGTTAGCAGCTAACTACTGACCTTAGCCAGCTGCTAGTCGGCTAATTGGTGGTGCTGATGCTGAGCTAACCAGGCTAACGATGAAGCTAAGGCAGGCTAAAGCTGCTTTTTTTAAAGACTAGCTTTTAACAAGTCTAACAAAAATTCATACTGTTCACAGATCTAATTTGGACTGCATTTAATGAAACCAGATTTTTATATCAAAAACCTAGGAAGTGAAGGCTGAGATACATTCGGAAAAAAAAATAAAGATGGGTACTTTGGACAGTTTAAAGTCAATTAAAAAAAATGGAGAGGATTAATCCCACCACGCACACACTTATTACACTCGGTAAAATCTCAAATGTACAGTTAATATTTATGCATATTAGAAAATGAGTCATAAATGATAACATAAATGAATTATAAAATAAAGGACAGGAGTATTTCCAGCTTCTTTAACATCTTGTGGAAAGGCTACTCCAGCTTCTTGAATCATACCTGATGAAAGCAGCATCAACTTGTTTTATTTCTGCTTTGTGGCGCAATAATGAGAAGCAAACAACCTGAGAGGCTTTCCTGTTTCATAAACCAATATAATTTCTGAGACATTTTCCAGTGCATAACCTGTTACTGTCATGTTAACAAATAAAAATGTAAATCAAAATTAAGCTTCCAGGCACCCTTGGCTTTAGTATAAGCATGCTAGTTCTTTCCTTCTGGTTTTAGTCAGCACTTATGCAGCTATTTGTAGATCAGAAAAAGAGTCTTACAATATTTTATTTTAGCTACACTAGTGTGGTGAAGGTGCTTGGAGGTTTGCACAATATGACTGCAATGTAGCCGTGCTAGTGCTATTTAAGTAATATCATAATAATATGGTATTGAATCACTCACTACAATCTTCAAAAGTCAACCATCACAAACGTACTGTGTGGGGAGCATGGGGAAAACATGTAAAGCAGTCAGGTAGCGATGAGGTGCATAGCTGGAGTGGAAGATGGGTTCAAGGTGGGAGTGTGATTATATCAGAGATCAGCTGTAAAAAACCTTCTTGTTTGTAGTGCTGATAAACAGATTGACAGCTTAGGTCAGACAGGAGTCTTCGTGGACTAATTTTGCATACGGCAGTGTGATTTGTAGCAGTAGTTGCAAGCAGGTGGAAGAGAATTGGAAGAGGTGAAGGTATGATCTGGAGAGAAGAGGAATGAAAGACAAATACCTGTCAACTCGTCAATACTGCTCAACCATCCAAAGTAAGTACACAGTATGCAAGAGTGACGAAGAGGACAGTGCAGGCAGGGTGGAGTCAGGGGTAACTTGTGAAATAAGGATAACCATAAAAGTGAAAGAGAAGGTTTACAAGATGGTAATGAGACTTCCTGTGACATAAGGTTTGCAGATGGTAGCCCTAATAAAAAATAATAAAACAGAAGCCAGAGCTGGAGGTTGAAGATGTTAAGATATTCATCAAGAGTGACCAGAATGCACAAGATTTGAAATTAAATCAGAGGGTCAGCTCAGGTTGAGCTGTTTGAAGACAAAGTTAGAGAGGCAAACTGTGATGATTTGGTCATATGCAGGTGGATAGTGGATATATTAGGCAAAGGATGGTGAATATGGAGTTGCCAGGCAGAATGAAAAGAGGAAGAGCTCAGAGGAGGTTCATGGATATAGTGAAGAAAGAAGAAGAAGACATGCTGATTCATAAAGGAAGCAAGAAGAAGAATTTTAGTGCGTTTAGCACAGCTATGGGTTCGTATTACAGTTTCTTTTGTATTGTCCACCACATAGTTGTGATCAGATCTCTAGAAACACAGTTTTTTCTGAAAGTGTAGGTGCATTTGATGACACTTGCTATGATGTTTAAACAAAACTTGTAAAAAAAAAAAAAAAAAAAGATTGTTGTTTTTTTTAAACATTAATTGTTTGTGCATTTGTTTGTATGCATGCTGTCTATAGGATCATGTGGTGGGCCTGGCCGTTCCTGCCTGCTCTGGTGCTTCTCTCAGAGCTCTCTGTGGTGAGAGTCCAGACAGCACCGTGCCAAACCTGCAAAAAACTCACTGAGAGTTTCATTAAGGTAGTCCTTGTATCCAAAGAAACTGTCAATGCTTGCTTGTCTTCTTTGAGCAAACCTTAAAAAGAATGTTTTTAGGACCCTAACTTTTACTCTTTCTAGGGCTTGGAGAGAACAGCCAATAAGAACTTTGGGGGAGGAAACACTGCCTGGGAGGAGGAGAAGCTGGCTAAATATGCAACCAGGTAAGACTAAATTTTTGTTGGAGTACTTAGCAAATACCTGCTCATATATTCACAATGTCTAATACGACTAGTTCCGTCTTTTTGCTAAATTAAATTCACATAATAACTTATATTACTAGACATCCTGTCCTCTGCATATTTGTATGATAGTTTGTGAAATATATATATTTGCCAAAAGTTTTCTACCGGAAAAGGTGGGGTTAAATCATATTTAAGGGGTAGGGTGTTCTTACTTCATGACTATGTTGCTGTCTCTGTCCAAACTTGTGTTCCAGTGAAACTCGCCTACTAGAGATAGTAGAATCTGCTTGTGAGAAAACAGATTTTGAATGTAATCGACTGCTGGAGCAGATAGAGGACCAAGTGGAGACATGGTGGTTCCACAGGTAAAAAAAGCTGCTTTCATGCATGAACCTGTGTTAAATTGAGATGAATTAGATCAGCAGGAAAAGGTCTTCTGACGCACATTTTGAAATGTAATTTAAAAGAATAAGTTGTCTGTAGAGTGTGTAGGTGGCACCGTCAGTTTCTCCTGTGTAATTAGGTTATGCTGAGTTTTTTTTATTTTTTATCATGCCCCTGTCTTAACTTCCTAACTGATGTGATCTGTACATCCTACAGACAGCAGGAAGCACCAGACCTGTTTGAGTGGCTGTGTATAGAGGAGCTGAGACTCTGCTGTCCACCTGGACACTTTGGACCTGACTGCAAAGGTGTGGCTTTAAACACAAGCTGCCTTATGTCAACACTGACAACCTAGTCGGTCCAAAAAATATTAAAAACGCATGGAACTCAGTGATGATAATCAGAATCATGTTAATTGTAGGTTTAAAGTGTAGCACTGATATCCTGCTTATCCCATACAGAGTGTCCATCTGGACCCGGTGGCACATGTGGAGGTCTGGGCCGCTGTGAAGGGGAGGGTACTCGCCTGGGAGATGGAGAGTGTGTCTGTGATCCCGGGTACTCAGGCCATCTTTGCCAAAGCTGTGCTGATGGTTACTACAGAGAGAAAAGCTCCAATAACAGCATAGCAGCCTGTGCAGGTGCCACAGATTCAGATAATGGTTTCCACACTGTTAAATCCTGCCTGGGGTCATCTAAACTTGACCCTCACCCTGTGACTGTGTCTTTCATCCTTTGTAGCCTGCTACCACTCATGCAAGAAATGCTCAGGGCCGCAGGACTACAAATGTCTGGACTGCAAACCCGGCTGGATCCTTCATGACAACAAATGTGTTGGTGAGTTTGTGACTTTAGAGGTCACTCAATAGCAATTCAGTGATTCGGTGCCAGCTTTCTGTTGTTTGACATGGCTTGTATGTCTCCTAGACATCGATGAATGCGGTACAGAGCTGGCTCGTTGCCCTTCTAACACCTACTGTCACAACACAGATGGATCATATGAATGCAGAGGTATGCTCTTTTCTCTAGTTACTATTTTCATTTTCCTGGAACTTATTAAATCGTGCATATTTTGTGGTGCTGCTGTAATAAGAGGCAGGTTTTTAGTTACATCTGGAGCATATGTGATAATACAGTTTCAGTAAGTCTCATCACAAAATGTTAGTGGTGTTATTGTATGCTACTTCTCACAGTTCAAGGAATGTTTAAATCAAACTGCATAAAGACATGCACTCATTGGCCACTTGATAGTTATACTTTGCTCTTAATGAGTTGGACCCCCTTTTGCCTTCAAAACTGCCTTAATTTTTCATGTCAAAAAGTCAACAAGTTCCATTGAAACGTTCATCAGATATTTTGGTCCATATTCTCACGCTAGCATCATGCAGTTGCTGTAGATTTGTCAGATTAAAATGACTGATGGGAATCTCACATTCCACCACATTCCATAGTTGTTCTTTTGGGTTGATGCCTGTGGAGGCTATTTGAGTACCGCTAACTCACTGACGTGTTTGTAACATCGTGCTTTATCCTATTGAAACGATGCTCGATGCACAGGCCCAAAGTAATCCATGAAAATATTCCCCTTGCCATTACACCACCAGCGGCCTGAACCAGTGGTACAAGGCAGCATAGATCCATGTTTTCATGCTGTTTATGCCAAATCTAGTCCTTGCATTCAAATGTCACAGCAAAAGTTGAGTCTCATCAGACCAGGCAGCCTTTTCCTAATCTTATGTTGACCAACTTTGGAGAGGCTGTGTAAATTGCAGTCTGGATTTTCATTCTCAGCTGACAGCAGTGGCACCAGGTGTGGTCTTTTGCTGCTGTAGCCCATCTAGTTCAAGGTCTGATGTGTTGTGAGTTCAGAGATGGTTGGAATTAGTGGGTATTTGAGTGACTTGTTAGCTTCCTTTCAGCTCAAAGTATTCCAGCCATTGTCTTCTGACTTTTGGCATCAGCAAGACATTTTCATCCAGAGAACTGTCACTCATATTTTCTCTTCTCTTGGACCATTCTTTGTAAACATGGTTGTGTAGGAAGATGCTAGTAGATCAGTAAAGTACTCATAGCCAGGCTGGCGTCAATATCCATGCCACATTCAAAGTCACTCAAATCACCTTTCATATCCATTCTGATGCTTTGGTTAAACTTGTTTGCATGCTTGAAATGAGTCGCTGCCATGTAATTGGTAGAGATTTGTGTTAATAAGCAGTTAAATGGGTGTACCTGACATCGTGGCTGGTGACTGCACCTTGCAAACGCATCTTAATTTGAATATGAAATGCAAAACAGTTTAGTCCAGTTACTGGTTAGTTGTTGTTTCTCTTTAGGTGGTGTAGGACAGAGTTTTTCTTCCACAAAGGAATTTGTGGGATTCCCAAAGAGGTTACAATTGTAATATTGTAATTGTAATTTATTTGATCTAACCTCACTTGTTGACTACAAGTTATTTTAAGTAGTAAGAAAAAACTGAAAAAAGGGCGAAGATATTTATCAAGTATGGTAACAAAGCCTCATTACTTTTACAGTAAAATGACTTAATAAATGTGCAGTGGAATTCCAGGTGAAAAAATCTTTATTATAGCAATATGTAATGCTGACCACTGCATTTCTGGCGTTTTGTAGGATGTGACCAGGCATGTGTGGGCTGCATGGGTAGTGGTCCTGCCCGCTGTAAAAAATGTGCGCGTGGCTACAGATTGAAGGGAGCGAAGTGTCTTGGTATGTATACACAAACTGGCTACTGAATCTCAACATCAGTTTCCTTTTCTCTTTTCCTGATGTGTTTAAACTTGTTTTCTTTGTGTCCTCTTACAGATATAGATGAATGTAGTGAACGTGCCATAGCATGCCCGGGACTCAATGAGGCCTGTATAAATGAGGAGGGCTCCTTCCACTGTGACTGTGCTAATGGCTTTATCAGAAGAGACAGCATCTGTGTTGAAAATAAACCACCTGGTAAGAAAAAGCCATAAGGAATATGCAAACACACACATGCAGCGTACAGCTTTTCAGACCTCTTGGTTTCTTTTCCTTTTACCTCTTCAGCTGGCCCAGAGAAGGGACTCTTTGACGATATGACAGATGATGAGGTCCTTGTACTGCAACAGATGTTCTTTGGAGTGGTAATCTGTGCCCTAGCCACCCTTGCTGCCAAGGGTGACATGGTCTTCACAGCTATTTTCATTGGAGGTGTGGCTGCTATGGCTGGATACTGGCTGACTGAGAAGGGAGACTACATGCTGGATGGATTTCTGAAGGGACGCTAGACTGCATTGGACCGTAGCTTGAATAAAAAGACGGGTCAATTTGGGTAAATAGGAATCAGTTTGAGGCAAGAAACTAGCTCTGCAATGCTAGATTATCAGGGATTTACTTGTGACTGGGGAATTAATTTAAAGGGCGTGGGTTAATTTATGTGTATGAGTTGCATAACACGGGAAGAAGGGAGAACTTAAAGAACATGAAGCCATGAAGCTTTAAGAGGAGTAACGAAGCATCACTGCACTGATGGAAAGGAACTGAACTTACTTCCCTACCTCAGCTGTGTTGGGAACAAGGGTGACATAAAGACCACTACTGATTGTGAAAATCTTATGCATTTGGATATGATGTCTGGTCTTTGTCTCTCTTGAAAAGATTTTTCTTTTTCATCTACTCTATTCATGAAGTCCATCTGCGTTTTCACCATTTCAGCTCCCCCTCCCTCCCATAGTTTGAATGGCACATGAGTTGTGAGTGTGTCAGGTTACTAATGCACTTACCGCTGTGGGACATTGGGTAGGATGGAGATATCGCAATTTCCCAAATTCCCCCAGTGAAGCACTCATAAAACTCTGGGATATTTACATTAAGAACAGCCATTTATTTATGTTCACAGAATAACTTTTTACCTCTTTGTCCCAGAATAATTCTTTGTAATAATAATAATGCATGATAAATAGGATTGGAAATGAAAGATACAGCACCCTATGTATTTATTTGTCCTACTTGGCATGGAAGATAACTTTTTAATAGCTGCTGGGTCACCAACATTACTTATTTAAGTACCAGGATCCTGTTACAGGAAGCAGGTTAAGCCAACAGTGCTGAGTTTGTTAACCCCGAGAAACGTTTTTTCAGTTCTAGAAATAGAGTTAACTACTTTTCATTTCCTCATTCAAAAGGCCACTGTTAAAGGTCAGAGCCAAGCAAATTATCCTGCAGACGTCAGAATAAAATCTGTAGCTGTCAACCTGTCTGAACTCCACTGAATGTTCCTAAAACAATGGGTGTTTATTGTTTAAATCATTTTAATCTGTATAAAGCTTTAGACACATGATGCTGGTTAATGATCACATTTGTCATGTTGTAATCAAGTGAAAATGAGGCTGCAAGGACTTTAAAGGGCACTAAAATGCAATTAAACATATTTTAAAGCGACTTGCTCCACCTATTGTTGTTCGGTCATGAAATTTTGTCATCGTTTTGAAAGACAGTTTCTAAAGTTTGGTGTCTGAACCTGAACATATTTTCCACTGAAAATGGCCCAAACCAGTCTCGCTGCGTGTACCCACATAGCAGTAGTGACCAGAAGTGGATCCATCAGCAATGCTGAATAGTCTAACATTTTCTGATTTAGTGTAAGAGACAGTAAATTGTGCCTTTTTACAGAGTCATCATTAAGCATAAACAAGCTAAATATAGTTGCAAGTAAGTAAATACAACAAGGAACAAATTAGGCTTATTTGTTTCAGTTTTATTTCACTGTTATTTTAGCTGTCTGGGAAGAGTTTCTCAGTTTCAGTTTGGACATATCCATAGATTGGGATACCATTTTTTTTTTTTTTTTTTAATGTAATATCTGACAGTTATGACACACACATACTGTCTCACTTTGCACCGTATTTTTACTCTGTGCAAAACTGAAAAATAAATCTAGCAAAGAAACGACAAATTATACTGCTGCTTGATTTTCTTTGTGGTACCTTCTATCATTTGATCATGTACCCAGTGATGGCGTGCCCTTCACTGGGTACATGCCAGCGCATGCCCTGCAGAACCAGTTAGGCACTTTCTCAAAAGGTAACACTTGAAAACAACGGATAAAAATGCTGTGCAGATCCACATGAATAGGAATATTGCATTATCAGAGTGTAACTGACGGTTACTTTCTTTTTCTACTCATGTGTGCGTTTAACTTGGGGTTATTGTCATCAGAGTTAAATGAACTTGCAGTAAACTTCAAAGTTGCCTATTTCAGAGATAAACAACTCGGAGTTTATTTTTAAACGCAGTTTTCTGAACCTCCTGGAACAGGATCCAGCTCTATTCTACATACAAGCGTTTTGTGTTGCCTTTATTTTGAAGTTATATTTATGTTGTCATATTTTATTAATATTTCCTTTATACTTGTGTGTGTGTGTGTGTGTGTGCTATCGGCATATATTTTTAAGAGTTAAATTGTAGTTCTGGGAGATACATTAGCATCATGTTGGATTGCCACTCAATAGAGCGTCACTTTTTATCGGTCCAATTATCTATTTATTTTTATTTTAAGTTATGCTTGATTATTTTCCGAGTGTGGAATGTTGTCCAGAGTCAAAATTCATTAGCGATGTTTGCATTACAATAAAAAGTCTGGCACTCTTGTTGTTTTTGTTTATTTATTTATTTGATCTTTGTCAGAGTTCCATGTTTGCATCATATTATAAATGACAGGGAAATCGGGAGTAGTTCATCATTGAGATAAACTCTTGGCATTAGTTAATGTGTTTTTATTAGAAAGGTTCTCATTGTTATTGTGTAGTGATGTTAAAAAGAAAGTACACGCTCTTTCAATTCTAAGGTTTTACTTACAGGATGTAATGATACAAAATAATCTGCTCCATAAATCATGTAACTACAACCTCAGACAAAAAACAAAGTAAAAATGCTGAAGTCTTTTTTTTGATTGAATCCTTTGTAAAACTGTCTTCAGCAGCAATAACTTCAACTAACTGCTTTTCTGTGTGATTCTATCAGTCAGAAGAATTTTGTGCCACTCATTACGTCTTTGCTGCAGATTATTGAGGTTTGCAGGCATTTATTTATGCACAGCTCTCTCAATGTCTGGACTTTCTGTGGGCCACTGCAACACCTTAATTCTTCTCTTTCAGCCATTCGGTTTATTTGCTGCTGCGCTTGGGATCATTGTCCTTTCACATGGCTCACCTTAACTTTAGCTGTCAAACAGGTGGCTTCGCATTTGACTTTAGAGTACTTTGACATACAGAGGAGTTCACGCTTGATTCAATGACTGCAAATTGCCTGTGGCTGCACAACATGGTGCTTGACAGGTGGTATGAAGTGTTTGTACCAGTGATGTTTGGTTTTCATGTGGCCACCCTTCCAAACAAGTCATACCTGTTCAGTCTTTTTTTTTTTTTTTTTAATTATACTGTTGTGAATGCAAATTTTAAAGTGGGTGAGGTCTGGACTTTGAATGGGCCATATTTCTTTTTTTTTTTTTTTTAATTATACTGTTGTGAACTTTAACATTTAACATGAGAACTGAGACAGGCAGAGCTTTTTTTGTTTTTGACAGGTTCTCCTCAGTGTTATGCAGTCGGACCCTGGGGTGAATTTCTTGGAACATCCATTTCTGGAAAGCTTAGTGACGGTATTGAGTGTTTTCAACTTTTGAATACTCTTTATCACCATATATCACCAGACTTCAAATTGTTTTTGATAAGCTTCCTGGTTATCAATAAAGTAAGAGGAAACTGATCAGCTCACCTAGTGTTGCTTACTTTCTGAATTCCTATAGAAGTAATAAGGGTGTACTAAGTTTTTAAAACACTGCTTCTGTATTTTGTCTGAATTTGTGTTTAAATAAATGATGACATTGTATGATATGTAGGTTGTATTGACCTAATTTTAAGATTTGCCAAGGACCAGATTTTGTTTTTTTTAATGACCTGATACAAAAACTGTGAATTGAAAGACTCTGTACCCGTTTTTTCACATGACTGTATGTAATCCAAAATGTTTTAAAATTAGTTCCTTTAGTGATTCTGCACTGTACATTTGGGATCCCATTTTTCCACCTGACACACATGCTACAGTGAGGCCCAAGTCTGACGTTTTGACCTCCTGGGGAGGTTTGACCTATTTCAGTGTTCCACTCCAGTTGATGGGGTTGAGGCGCAGCAGCTCTCTTTCATTCAGGGCCTCCTGGGAACGTGTTAGTGCTCTGTCCCTCCAGCTCTGCTCCATTAGCTGTTCATGAGCAGAGAAAGAAACAAGAAGGAAAAAAAAAACCCACCCACACTCAGACACTCGCTGTATTTTTGTAACCTGAGAGCATGATGAAACATTTCCAGGGCACTACTGGATGGGGCCATAACCACAAAAGCATTAATAGTGGATATATAATGTATGTGTGGGGCTGTACCCTCTTGTTCTCATCTCTGTACACCGCCATTGCTTTGCTGTGTTGGATCCTTTGGTCTCGTTCACTGGCCAGATCGAGGCGGTCTGCTTCTCGGAGAGTCTCCGCTTCCTTTATTTTATTGGCCAGCTGCAGCTTTATTGCTGCACATTTCTCCTCTATTTGTCTCTTCAGCTGTTCTCGCAACTCCTTCCTACGGAGATAAAAAAAGAGCAGCTTTTCTTTGCCAGAAACAATTGTTGTTGTTTTTCAATATAAAAAGGTCAATGGTATCCTCCACTATTTTACCTGTACTCTTCTCTCTCACTGCTGGTTCCATAGAAGGGTTTTCGCCATACCTGATGATATCTGACACAGCAACTTTCAGTCATTGCCTTTGAAGTCAGCTCTTCAAAGGAAAGAGGGAAATGGCACAAGTGATTCAGTGATAGTGAAATGATTTAGTGCACCTACCTGTAATGCTCTTTTCTCTGCATGATCAGTGTCCTCTGGTGGTTGTGCTGGTGAACATCTGGTGTCTCCAGACTGACAGTCCGTTTATGGACAAATGGTGGGTGTAAAGGGTTCAATCTGGGAATACTCTAAGAAGAATACTCTATTTATGGATCGGTTTGGTTTTTCTTGTTGTTGTTTTAAACAATCTATTTCTATGATAAACCACACAATTAAGAAATCTCTGCTTACCTGATTGCTTTTCCAAAACTGTGCGGAGTCCGAAATTACGGGAAATTTTACGGTTGTATCCACCACGCAGCGACCTTGCCGGACAGGAGGTGCGCGAGGAATACAGACTGGCGTGGAAGCTATGGAGATGGCTGCTGTGAGGATAAAGAAGTGAACAGAATTAAAGAATTAAAAGAGATACTTTTAAATAAAACCAGTAATACTTAAAAAAAAGGACAACAAATGGAAAACAAAATCTCTCCTTACGTAGTTTCATCTTATACTTCACACTTCTGTTGGCACACCAGAGGAGTCCAATGAAACTTTCAAAGCTCTACTTTTCTTCTTAAAGGTGTAGTTGCCTTAGCATTAAATCAACATGCAACAACACACAAAAAAAATAAATCCAAGTTTAAATATACCGGATTGCTATAGTGGTGCTAGTTAGAGATTATACTGACGTACCGATGTATGTGTTGAGTGTTTTGCGGTGGCAACAGTTGCCTTGGGAATCAAGTTACACCCTATCAAAAGAAAGCTGCTGCATTAAGTGGTACGCATCAATGCACTCATAAAGAAAGATTAGACTGTGCCAATAGCTATATTTAGGGGGTGTCCCTGGATCTCATCTATGTAGAAAGCCTGAGGCGAGAAGGCTGAATAAACCACTCATGAATCATTTCAACTTTTAACCAGCTTAAAACATTTTATTCAACACATAGTAAAAGTTCTTAAAGGCTAGCCAGCGTAATACTGCATAATATTGAAGAAATTCACGATTAAAATTTCAAGTCCTCCATAATGCTAATATTGTTATATTGTTGGGTAACTGCAGTTTGTGTGATAGAAGTGATTTTCTTGTTTCTGGTCCTTCAGATTCCCAGTTTCTCATGGTTCTCCCACAGCCAAGCATGGTACTTGTTTAGCATATGATCATCAGGTTTTACCTTTGACACAAGAATCGAAAAAACAACAAATTAAACTTGAATTTAGAGCAAATAAATGAGGGAGCAATGGAAGCAACTGAAGTAAAATAGTTGGGATTATACCCACCTGTCGCCACTCATTGATACAGAAGATCCTGTACGAATCGTTGCCGTACTTTCCAATACCGTGCAACTCAATAGGGTAACGCCACTGTTTAGTTAGATACTCATCTACACAAGAGAAAAGATGTTGTGAGGGTTTTTTTTCTGTTTCATATATTCTTACTAAAACCATGCAAAGACTACCAAAATGGACAATAAAATTACATTAATATATATGAATAAATGGACATTGCTTCTGCACAAAGGTAGTTGCTGCTGTAATCCACTAGCAGTCAAGAATATCCACCTGAGAAGCGGATGAGTGTTTTGGCTCTAAGCTCATACAGGCCAAGTGGCTTCATTAGTTCAGACATGGGCTTCCAGTCGGCCTGCCGGGTCACCTCTGCAGATGGATAACGCTCAAAGAACTGCCACAGGACTGGAATGGCCATTTTACCTGTATTAAATAAATGCCAGGCTTCAGCAAAGTTTAATGCAACATCCTGAATAATTAAATGTGTGTGTTGAATCCTACCACTGGTTTTGTTCAGAAAAACTGTGGCTACCAGCAGCTTCCAGGGATCATGGAAAAGAGTTTCCTGTACGAGGTTGAAGGGAGACCGGGGAGGTGTCCACTTCTTGAAGGCCTTCCTCCTCGGTGGGCTAAGTCCTGAATGAGGACAGTGCACGTTTCTTTAAATTACACACTTTATTTATTTCGTGAATGTTGATCTACATGTCCGATGTAAAAGCATCCACAGTTTCCTGCATTAAACATTACCATCTCTGCTGGATTTCCCACTGAAATAAGGACTTGTTTTCCGCTTGCCTTCCAAGTTTTTGGACTCTAAGCAGACAGGAAACATTTATAGATATTAGAAGAGTGAAGCTGCTTTACATCTTTTGGTCGGGTCCAAAGTTAAGTACCTCATAAAATGACACAACAAAGAAAATCATACATTCGCTGAGCACAAAGTGGTGGAGTCCTATGATGGCTTCAATAATGCAGTAAGATTACTCAATCAATTCTGTCCTCCCTTAGACTAATGATGTGATGCACTCTCTAACAATGGACCATTATTCTTCGCCCCCTCTTTATCAGATCTAAATGTATGCATTTTTTTTTCTATTTGTAACATTTTGTGTCAATTAAGGCATTTGGTTTCTTTGATTTTTATGCATTTCTAGCTGCAAATATAGAGGATAATGGGAGACATAAATAACCACTAATGCACTGGATAAGCTCAAAAAAACATGAAAAACTTTAACAAATTGTCAGTCAGTGTGGCTCATACTTACTATTCTGGGATTCTCGAACTGGTGTACAGCTCCCATCAGTGGTATCAGGTAACAACGCATGTTCTTCAGCATCTTGACGACTGTCACTGCCAGCCTCCAGGTCAGAATTAGGAGTGTTGTCACCTTTGCTTTCATCACCTTTGTTCTCGCTCTCAGCGGCAGGTTCAACATTCAAAATCGGGGCCGAAGGCTGCAAATCTGCTTTCTTGTCCTCTTGAAGAATAGATGTGTTTAGTTGATTACTTAAAGGAGCCAGTCTGAGTAACTTCTCTCTCAGCTGGCCTCCTCTTTGGGGGCTCTTTTGCAGATGTACATTGTCCACTTTTTCTGAGGTCAAAGCTTGTAAGCAACCATTTAAACTTTCAGTAGTTTTGTCTCCATTCACATTCACTTCTAATACACATGCAGTCTTCTGTAGTTCAGTGTCAGCATCAATATGATTTGTGTCGTTTGCTGTCTTCACTTTTCCACTTTTAGTATCACTTCTGAGGGAGGAAGAGGCTTGTTTGGATTTATTTGGAGGTGCCTCTAGAATTGCTGTTCCATTTTCTGTTTCCTCCTGCTGTCCCTCTGAAGGCTTTTTCTTTCCTCTCCTCTGCTTTACTTTGGAAGGGGGTGCTTGTGATGTGGTGAAATCAAAGAGGCTTATGTCTAAGTTACCACTTCCACTTTCCAGGAGGAAAGTGCGTAGGGATGCTCTGGACCGGAACCTTTGCCCTTCGGGACTTAAACAACAGGAAAATCAATTAGATGCTGATCTAAGGGCTTCTGTGGTGAACTTACAGGTAACATCAACAGAGACAAGATTGTAAAAAACATAAAAACAAAACTGAGTCACCTTGTAAAGTAGACATCTAGTTTGCCTGCTGTTTTGCCTGCTTTCCGCTGCCTCACTTCTCTGATCCAGCCAGGGGGCAATGCGGAAGAAGTGCACAAAATATCCCCTTCTTTGAGACTTTGATGATTCATGTCCACACTGCTCTCCAGTTCAGTATCTCATCTAGTAGGATGCATTTTTAGTTTCTTTGGAGTCCTGTTGAAGTGAAGACAACGAATAAAAAAAACCCTTGGCTTTATTGTTAAACTATGAACCTGTAAGTTCTTGTTTTGTTCGTGCATGTTTACTTGGACAATTACAAAAACAACACATACAAGGCGTTTGCTCATTCTAAAGTTTGCTCACATAAAGCCACATTAAAAAAGCATTGCTGGACATTACTGGGCAGCAGATCAACAGCAAAGAGCTAAAACGTTAACAAAGGCGTGTGTAGCATACATGAATACTGATCAGGCTTTAGATGTGCATCTTCTTGTCTCGACGTTGCTTTCCCGAGTACTTTCTGATGTCAACACAGAAGCAGGAAGTAGCGAGCAAGTGCGAGTCTGCGCATTGCGAGCTACTCGCTACAAGAAACGGTACACAGTGAAAAAAAGAACCAAGCGAACTGCAGCAACCTGTTGAAAAAAGAGCCTTTGGTGCTTTTTTCAGCTAAAGAGCGGAAATGAGAGCCGTCCTAGCATGGAAGGAAACGATCCGTGAGCAATGGTAGGAATCTGGGTGATTAGGTTTGCGCTGTCAGCCTCGTCCCGAAGTTCAGATGTAACGCTAGGTGGTTAGCAACGGTGGTTGCTATGTAAACTAGTGTTAGCCTGCTAACTAGCTTTAGCATCGCGGCTATTCAATTATCACCATCTTTCAAATCGCTCTCATATTAGATGTCGTGCATTATGTATTTTCAATAAGTACACTAGCTTACGATGGTTCTTTGGTAACCGATATAATCATAGACGTATGATCTCTAGTTCTCATTACGGGTTTTTTTGGGTGCTGTGCAGAATTGCGTGCTCCTACTAACATATTTTTATTAAACAATCTTTTTAAATAAGGTATTAACTTATTTTCCATTATTTCCCATTACATTCTTGTCAGGAATTAAGGTAGTTCTGTTTAGTCCAGCATTTAAAAGATCAGACTTCCCGAAAAAACAAATCCGAGTAGGTGTTTGGAGAGATGCTTTTGTGCTGTTTCAGAGGGAGAATGGAAATCACAGAGTAACTCACAATACTCTAATGATACAATGCCCACTAAAAAGTTTATATTATGATATTATGATCAAATCAAATTACAATACTTGATATGTTGCAGGAGTCATCTTGGATAGATGGTTGTATCTGGATAGGAAAAACATAACTCCCCAAAAAGGCAAAAGCAGGACTTTATATACTTAGTATGATAACTGTGTTTGAGTGAGACAGTGTGGGATATGTTAATGATGCTGAGAAGTCACTTGAAACATTTTAACAGCTTTATTTGTTTTCTAATAAAAACATGCTGTAGTTTTAAATGAGATATTTCCAACTTCTTATATGCATAAATGGAAGTTAAGTTTTTTTGGTGGTATGATTCAATTAATTTTGAGCCACAGATCAATCACATTTTTCACTTTGACATTAGACAAAGACGTAGTCCAGTCCATCTAAAGTTTGACACCTATTGGTGTTCCTACCCCCAGTGGACCCACTAGGGATTTTTATTCATTTTATTTATAAAGGTTTTAATTTCCTGGCTTAAAACTCTATGCACGTTAAGTACAATTGATCTGGATATAGTCAAGTAAAAGAGTGAACGTTTTTATCAGATGGCTTAACACAGTCTTTGAGCGTAAGAAGATGCCTGAAGAATGGAGAAGTGGTACTGATTTTTAAGAACAAGTGTGCAGTAACTACAGAGGGATAAAACTCGTAAGCCATACCATAGCTATGGGGAAAAGTGTTGTTGAAGTTAGCTTAAAGAGTGAGGTAATGATCAGTGAGCAGCTTCATGCCACAAAAGAGCACTACAGATGGGAATTTTGCTTTGAAAGTGTTGATTGGAGAAGTATGGGAATGTCAGAAGGACTTGAGCTGTGTCTTTGTGGATCTGAAGGAAGCATATGATAAGCTGGCAGGAAGGGAACTGTGGTATTGCATGAGGAAGCCAGGAGTTGCAGAGAAGTACGTGAGGGTGGTGCAGCACATGTAATAGGACAGTGCGACAGTGGCGAGTTGTGTGGTACAGATGGGTTCGAGGTGAGGGTGGGATTACATCAGGGATTGTCTTTGAGCCCCTTTGAGCTTTGAAAGGTGGAGGTACAGACTGGAAAGAAGAGGAATGAAAGTAGAAGCAAGACAGAATACGTGTGTGAATGAGAGGGAGACAGGTGACAAGTTTTCAAGTAGCAGAAGTAGTTAAGGTGGACCAATTTAAATATCTGGGGTGAACCATCCAAAACAACAGACAGTGCACAAAAGAGGTGGAGGAGAGAGAGCACACCCAGGGTGGAGTGGATGGAGACGCGTGATTTTCCTTGTTGTTAGGTGCAAACATTTTTTGTATGTTTTGTGTGTGCGTGTGTGATTTTGTTGTTTGCACTTGTTTGTCCTTGCTAAAGATGTCCTCTTTTTCCTCAAACTCTGAATTTTATGTTTTTTTGTTTATTCGGTCTATCCAAAATGAAAAAAAGAGAAAAAGTCAGTGTGCTATATTAAAGAAATTCCCCAATTCAATACTGAAAGAAGACATTGGAGGTCCCAAGCTAGTTCACTCCTAATTCCAGTCGCAAACCCCAGATCAGGGAGGGAAGGTTGCATCAAAAGGGCATCCAGCATAAAATCTGTGCCAAATCAAATATGCAGATCCATCCGCTGTGGTGACCACTTGGGAAATAAGGTTGCAGCTGAAAGAACCTATTAAAGAAACATTGGACACTTGCAAATTCTCACACTTATGAAACTGGAAGCCATTATTCTCCATGCTTCACAGTGAGTGTTTTCACACCGAAACAGATTGTGTGCATCCTTGCAATCTAGCAAAACTGCTGAATGTTTTCCCTCTTCATACAAACCAGATTTTTCAGTGCTTTTATTTATTTATCCTTTTTTTTTTTACACCAGAATTCTTAACATCAATAGTTCTAATATTTCTTTCATATTTCTTAACAACATATTTACTAATTCACAGTGTTGCAGTGACATGTTTTGGCTTAATCTTCACTCATAAGTTTGTGAATTCCTCCAAAACCTTCAACAGAGTTGGAGGGTTGCAAAACCTTCCCTGTGTGCACTTTGGCAGACAGCAATAACGTCCTTGTAAAATCCACCTTCATGGCATTGCCAGAGTTCAAAAACTCCACAGGGAACCTCCATTATATGATTTCAGTGATGAATGGATCCTCATAGCTGTTGCTCGTGAACTAATCAATTTATTGAAAAACCATTTCAACACGGATCTGTTATATTGTTTTTTTTTCTGCAGCGTTTATGACCTTGCCTTCAAACCAGATGGTAGCCAACTCATAATTGCTGCAGGGCTTCGTGTCCTGGTAAGGCTTTTCTGTTTTCTTTAGCCTAAAAATGCAAACATGTAGAGAATACTTTCATCGTTCAACTCAATTTCACCTTATTTCTTTTTGTTCCAGGTTTATGATGCAACAGATGGCAGTATTATTCAGCCTTTAAAAGGACACAAAGACATAGTGTACTGTGTGGCTTATGCCAAAGATGGTACTAAATTGATTTTCACTACATTTTTCTGTGTCGGTCATCTTATTTTTGTTCTTAATTCTTACTCCGTAGTGCATTCTTCTGCAGGTAAAAGATTTGCCTCAGGGTCAGCAGACAAAAGCATTATTATCTGGACTTCTAAACTGGAGGGTATTTTAAAATATACGTAAGCAGCGCTTTTACTTATTGCTTTAGTATTACAGAGTTGTAGTGTTACACCACGGTGCACAGTCTGTACTCCTCCATCATTTTTTCTTTTATTTGTTTATCTGTAGTCACAATGACTCTATCCAGTGTGTTGCCTACAACCCAGTCACTCACCAGCTTGCCTCCTGCTCATCTGGTGACTTTGGTGAGTGCATCTTAGTGGAGAACTTTGATAAATGTGACCTAATGTAAGTACATAGAGAAATTAAACATCTCAAACTTCTCATATTTTTAGGCCTGTGGTCTCCAGAGCAAAAGTCTGTAAACAAACATAAAGTGAGCAGCAAAATAACATGTTGTGGGTAAGTGAAGTCTGGAGCAGCAACGTTTATGCAGCAGCAGTACATTTTCATTTGTGCATTTATGTTGCTGTGCATCATTTGCTTGCAGGTGGACAAACGACGGGCAATACCTTGCTCTGGGTATGATGAATGGAGTGGTGAGCATTCGGAACAAAAATGGGGAGGAGAAGGTCAAAATAGAGCGTCCAGGTGGCTCCTCTTCTCCTATCTGGTCCATTGCCTGGAATCCCTCCAAGTTAGTCCTAAGTTATTATAGAAATGGACGGATGTCTCCACAGATTAACACATAGCCACGTATATTTTTGGTCTGTCCTTCCAAGATTTTGAGCCCAAATTGTGCAAAATTAGATTTCTTATTTAGGTGTAGTTTTTGTAGGGCCAGCAGGTGGCAGTGTTCAACCAGTGAGCGGTGGACCTTTCTCAATGATGGACTGAATTATGATGCCTGGGAACAGCTGTCTTTGCTCTATGATTCCCCCTACAGCCAAAGCAGAGAGTACAGCAATGAAAACTATGCAAGACCACAGAACAGGTCAATTAAGGGAAAAAGACGACACAAAGGTGAAAAGATGCGGGAAGTAGGATAAAGATAAAAGCCATAAAAGACAGTAGATATTTTATTGCTGGGTTGCCTCATATGGGAAAGTTGGTAATCAAATTGTGGTCAAAACATGAGGTCAATCAGGGAACAGCGTTTGCTAGAGCCGCCAGAGATTCAGGGTTAATAGATGCAGAGGTACATGGGTTTATGCTGTATTCTGTCCTGAATTAAAACAGTTCTGGAAAATTAACATTAAAAGGCTTTGCATCCATTACTTTGCATCACTGAGAGAGTGACCGGCGTGTCCCCTAGCTGAAGGTTGGCTGCTCTGCTTTTCACTGTCATCATTACTTAAATGACAGAAGCCTCATCAGTGCTGAATCTTGTGATTAATGCTTATGTCTGTAGTCATTTTGTTGTGTTTTCACAGGGATGAGCACAATGACATTCTGGCTGTGGCAGACTGGGGTCAGAAGCTCTCCTTTTATCAGCTCAGTGGAAAACAGGTGAATGTCACAACCTACCATAAACTATCATATTTTATGGCATTGTATTTAATATGTATTTGGTAACTTACTAATCATCATGTCATGGCTGAATAGCTCAGACACAGAGATACACTCCACATAAAGATGAGGTTGTGCTTGATGAAGAATCAAACACAGAACATGAGTTTTTATGTACCATGTGAATCCAAAAGTAAATGTGAAATTATTAATTTAGACACTGTGGACTTATTATTTTCAGTTTTGAAATAAACTTTTCAGTTTTACTTTCTGTAGACATTCCCCTCTATCCCAACCTTTAGGCTTGTC